CGGGGTCTCTATAATTTCCAACATTTTAGGGGCACTTAACCTGAGCAGACCAAAAGAGACCAACAAAAAAATGCTCGCTCATAGTAGTAATTTTTGTTAGGGTTTTTTCTTCTCTCTTTTTTTTTTTTACTCGCGGGTGAACGGGAACGGGAAATATAAATTGCCGGAGCCCCGAAATTCTACACTGTCATCAAAGCGTAACTAAACGCCCATTTTTCTCAACTTTTTCGAATAGAGTCGGGTCTGAGAGGTCTGTCTACCAGAGAGGTCTGCAAAGGCCCGGGCCTGAATTTTTGGGTCCGACAACCATTTTCGGTAGTTATTAGTGGCATATTTTGGCTTAAAGTGCGTGAACCATGTCGAAGCCAACAAAATTTATTGTTTAGTAGGGAAGTTAACAACAAAATGGACCTCCCCATGAGTGAGCCAGAAAGAGAAAGACACGCAACACGAAGCCAGCGACTTTGGGAAAGGGAACGTGGAGCGGCACAAGAGTTGGCCAGAAAATATTAACGCCTCGAGCGGCAAGCAGTGGTTAGTGGTAACTGTTGTTTTCACAAAGGTGAGGGGAGAAGGAGAACAGCCCAACCTCTTACCTTATTGGCTGATGGTCCATACTCGACCACCATCATCGCTGTGAGATCCACAAGATTTGTTGTCTCGAAGGCTGAGACTCTGGCTATGACTCTGACTGCTGCCGATGCTGATGATGATGGCGTTGATTATGGCTTATTTTCAAATCTTACCTATGTATTCGAACTGGTACATCTCTCATCTCTTTTTTCCTCCTTCTTTCTGATTCTTGGAAGTGGCCAAAGCAAATTATGTGGAGTCATCAATGGCAGGCCACAGACGGAGCCACAAGCCACACGATGCCCGCATCAGAATCGTAGCACAAAAGAGAAGGCACTGTGGGAGTGGGAAAGAGCACACGCAAAGTTTCTTGGCCATTGGTAGTGGTTATGGCCAAAAGATGGTCTCTAAAGATGTTCAGCTGATTGTTTCTACGTTTTGTTTGCGCGTGGAGTACTTTTGATATTGAACAAGATTTAGTTGCATTTATATTTATATGTTTAAGGTGATCTTTTATCCCACAGTGATCCCCCCTTCCCAGTAAGATCACTCCTTATCATCGCTCTTGCTGATCCTCTATAAGAACTTGCAGAAGAAATGCCTCGAGTTAATCGTCTCATGTCATGGCTATTAGGGCCATCAGGTCTCGATCAATATCGCTTGATGGACGATCATCTGCCGTGATCTATGCACAGAGTTTAAGCGTAAAATCGAGTGCAATAAAGTGTCCGGGGCAGACACAGCAAGTGTCCAACATTCTGAAGTCAACAAAGGACACGACACGCTCAGCTGAAGGGTCTCAGATCAGATCAGAGGACATGGGAGGACCAGAGATCGCGAGCTGCCCATGATCGGAGCAATGATCACGGCCCAGGACGAGTCTGTCAACCATCGAAGCGTAGCATTTTGGCACGGCGCATTAGCTGTTGGAAAAAAAAACACAGTGAGAGAGGGAAACAAACGGGGAAACCAGGGGAAACAAGCAATTTTCAAGCAGTGAAACAGGAGGCCCATAAACACAGGCCCACGGACTCGGAGTGTTGCAAATTTTTATTTGGAAGCAATTTTCACACCCTGTGTGTGTGCGCGAAGCAACAACAGGCGAAAATCTCATGCAGCGCAGTCACGGAGCTGAACTGAACTGCACAGAACAGAACAGAACCGGGCCAAAAGTGACCCCTGGCCAGGAGATGGCCGATCGTGTAGCTGCTGACAGGACACAGCGTGGCGAATTTGCCACCAGGAACCCGGTGACAACTGTTTTGGGAGTGAGCGGCCGATGCAGAGTGAGACGACGTAAAGTTGCAAATGATGCCAAATGATTGCCGACCATATAAATTTCGATTGTGACTGATTAGCAGCAGCAGCAGCAGTAGAGAAACCCTACCTGAAGGCAGACAACGCCCCCGTGCCCCGTAGGACACCAAGTCAGTCAGCGTTTTAGTTGCGCTTCAGCCTCACAGATTATTTGCAATTATGAGCTGAGATTTTACACTTTTAGTGGAAGAACAGACAGCCATATGACAACTCCCCCTTTTGGTAGAACATTGCAACACAAGTTTGACTTCTCGACTTGTTCTCTAATCACCTGGGATGGGAATGGGAAAACTGAAAATCCACAAAACCTGCAATATACTCTTCGGCTCCTTGTTGGTTGACCAGACAGTTGACCTTGTCCAGAGACCAGAGACAAGAAGCCTGTTCCAAGGACACGTCCATAGGAAGAAATGCTTTTTCAAGGTTGAAACACTCGGGGGGTTTTGGGTTTCTCGGTTCGGTTAGGTTCGGTTAGGGGTTTGGTATATGTTTAGAATTGTTGTGGCGCGTTGTTTTCGGATATATATTTTGATGGATTAGCCATATCGCATTGAAGGTCGGCCTTCGGTTAGCCTCGCATTTGTTACGACTTGTTTTGTGGTGGCTAACCAAAATACGAACAGCAATAACAGTGCCAACGACAATTATAAAGAGAGAGAGAGAGAGAGAGAGCGAGAGAGTGGCAAGATCGTAAATGTTCCTCGGCATATTATTTATCAATCATAAATCCCACATGTCCGTAGCTTTCCTTAGCTAATGGTAATACTCATCAGGTTTTTAGTTGATGCTTTTACAACCCCAGAGAGACACCCATCATATGGTACAGAGATCGCTACCTACAGCAGCGTCGAGCATTGAGAGAGAGGTCTCGATTTTTATGATTTGTTTGCGCTTCAGCCTTCTGTTCTTACTCACTCTCTATGAATGCCAGTCCAGTCCAGTCCAGTCCGGGAGTACATCCGAGTGTGTGTCTCATCATTTGGATTTTCCGCAGCAATAAAATTAATAAGAACGCGCTAATTTTTCTGGGCCCGTTGTCCCTTGCCCAGGGCTCGGTGCCTAAGCAAATACTGAAGTATTTGAACCATTTCCTACTCCTCCTTGCTTTCCCTCTAACTCTTTCTCAGCACTGCGCCCAGACTGTGCTAATATTTGCTAAAGAATGTTTCCTCTAAAACCAGCTAACGGCACAACCCATTGAATCGCCATTTTGTCCTCCACTGAGATGATCTCTCTCGTAATTCCACTCTGAATGCGAAATGCTTCTGAATAATCGTCCATTAATAGCTTTGACATAATCTTTACAGCGAACAAATGTGTAATTCATTGAAAATGGCCGAAAGATCCCACCGAAACGGGCCCAAAGAGCAGGGGGGCTCTTCTCCACTCTTCGTTTCTGGAGGTGCACACACACACACACACACACATGGCCACGTCTGTCCAATTAGTGGAAGCAGCCAGGCAATGGCACAGAAGAGCAGGAGGAAAAGGTAAGACATAAAGCCAGCTCTGTGGCATGCCCGAATGGAAATGTATGTGTGAGTGAGTGAGTGGCGAGCATGATGTTGCTGCTAGTACATAAGCGGAAGGCCACTCCGAATTTACTCCGAAATAATGAAGAAAACTCGTTCTGGAGGAGCCATACCATTCACAGGAGACATCTATGTCAATGGGCAGGAGATGGTAGAAATGAAGGAAATTTTAATATAATTTTTCTCAAGGTTTTAATTAGCTTTCAGTCTCAAAAAATTTAGAAAATTTATATAAATAAACATTAAATATTAAAATACAAAAATATGCGGAAAATGTACAAAAAATGTGTAATAAAATCAATGAACTATTCAAATACAATTGATTAAATTTGGCATTAAATTTGATACATTTTCTTCCAAGCCAGAAACTTTAAAAAGCACCTCCTATACCCACAAATTTGTTAGCCTTAAACTTTATTTTATCCTCTTTGGAATCAGTTGAAACAATACTCATAAAAACCAACCCACAATGTAGCCAAAAAATGGCCACAAATAAATATATTTAAATGCACTTAACGGCTAGCGAGAGATTGCGAAATTGCATCAAATTGGGCAAATAATCGCGCAATGTAATCGATTTTTGGGTCAAAAAATATGAGCGTGGAGAGCAAATTTCCAGAGCAACAGTTTTTCCATTTCCGCCATTTCTTATTGGCCATGGTTATATATACGGGCTATATATATACACCAGACATGCACGAGCACGAACACACGCGAGCAGACGAAAACAGAGACGGAAGACGAACACGAACGAGTACAGAGCGAGAGGCGAGCACACACGACCGCGAAGAGAGGCAGGCAGCTGGTCGTACTGCCAGCTAGCCGAACTCTTCTGGCGCAGGCTGCGATGCCAGACCGTAGCGATTGCTCCTCCCACTCTAGCACACACACTCGCATATACTGGCGCGCAGGCAGACAGACAGAGAGATTATGTAGACGGAGATCGTGTGTCAACCGAAGGTTCGCCTGCGCCTGCGTCCCAGCGCCTGACGCGATCTCTCGGGCTCGCTCGCTGCTGACAAACGCAGAGTCGGGGCCAAAGAACGCACCGGTGTTTCATTTGAGTTTCAGCGCTGAACCGGGCAACAATCTTTCACTCCTCCGCTCTGCGCCGCTCGATACCGTCGCGACATCTACCGTACATATCGATCTAGCCGTACAACTAGAGCAGATTGAAAGTGTTTTCCCCGAATACCAGAGAAAGAGAGATTGAGAGCATAGAGAAAAACTCGAAAAGTTTTATAACCATTAATGATTAATCCAAAGAGTGTGTCCCGTGCCGCATGATTACCGTGTGATCGACCCTCGAATCGAATTCATTCGAGTTCGGAAAATTAATTGCACAAATATGAGAATCAATATCAATACGCGTATGCTAATGATGATTATGCCTCATTTATAGTGCGTTAATTGAACGTGAAATTGCCATACAAAAATACGTAATAATAATTCGCATAACAGCCCATAACCCAAACAAATAGTTCGAATACCCAATCTCTAAGTGAGTGTTTTGTGAGACGCAGTGTGTACCAGAGTCGCAGAGTCGCAGAGTAGCAGCAACAAATAAACAAACAAATAATGGATATAAGCTATATCTTTGTGATCTCCCTGATGCTGGCCCTGTGCAGCAGCCAGGCCGAGAGCAAACAAAAGTCTGGACGGGGCCGAGGCTCCATGTGGTGGTAAGTCAATCGATCGACAATTCGAATATCAAATGCAATTGAAAGCATTTGAAAGCATTCACCCGTGGTCTCTTGTGGGGGTTGACAATTAGCATCGAGGCCTTAACTATCAGAGCAAACAGCATACGAAAATAAGAAAACAAACTCCAAATAACCCGAAAGGGGCACAATGTCACAGAACAACAACCACAGAACTTTGTGTTACTGCAGCCGGGCACGCGCCAGCACTACATAACTTTCGGGCAACATATTCAACAAAAAGAAACAAACACAAAAAAAACCACAGAAGAGAAGTTAAAGGTCTTGTGCGTCACGCACAATGCGGAAGCTACAAAATGCACACAATCCACACCACTTCAAAAAAAAGGCCAAAAGCCTCTCTCGATCTTCGCTTTATGAAAGCAATTAAAAATTCTAAGCGCGCATTCAGCTTTTACTCGAGACGGCTATTGGATTGCTTTTCTCAGCCTCTGTGTGTGTGTTTGACACAGTTTAAGATGTGAATGGGAGTTGTGGCAGACACAGAGTTGGGGGTCTTAGAAGGAAGTCAGCTTTTTGGGATCTACCGCAGAGCAACAGTTGCGTAGTGGCATCTGCAGGGCAATCAAGTTTGTTGCTTAAGTCTTTTGTGTGTTAGGGAAAGGAAAAGTTGTAAATTAAAAGAAGCATTAAATTACAATTAAACTGCTATTTTAAATGCATTAAAAATAAAACAAATAAATATAATATCGCAAGAAAGAATCTGTAAATGGTTGCACACAGATAAATAATATGGAAAACTTTCTTCTTGTGTCCATTTGAATATTATTGGATGCTTTATTTTATACAGATCTTTATTCTCAACTTAAATGAAATAAATGAACCTTTAATAAACTAGCCATTAAGAGTAGATACTTAAATATTTACACACTTTGTGATGTTTGTGATTGCCATTATGCCCTGCTGCTGAACAGATTCCGGGACTGCGAAGCTTGATGAGTTGTTTGTTTGACTTTTATCATGTGCAAAACTTCGGCTAAGCCTTAATAACTTTTATAACGGCATAAATTTCAACCTCAACAATAAAAAATCAACACAAAAATAAACACAGAAGATACTCGCGTACTACAGATACAGATGCAGATACAGCAGATACAGAAACATTTTTGTTGCTGCTGGAGCGAGCGAGCGGCTGCTGCGGATTGCCGTCGCATAAATCTCCGATGGGGAATCGATTTAATCCGCCTGGGAATTGAAATCGATTGGCAATCGCATGCCATGCCCCCTCTGCCCGTCTGACTCCTCTCCCATTCTTTTTTGCTCGCACGATGTTACACTTTCGATCAAGATTTTTGTTTTATTTATGTGTTTGCTTTATTAATTTTTGTGTGCTTTGTGCATTACGCAATTGTTTCAAATTGAGGCGGTTTTTGTTCCCACCGCAATCAGCATTCAATTGAAATGGCAATTCATTTGCATTCAGCGCGACTGGCTGTCAATATAAATTTTGTTTAAGTAAATATATTTCACTTTTCTGCTAATGAAGCGGCGGAAAATATTATAAAGATCAACAGTTAGAACAAAAGAAAAATAAATGACGGCAGGCCAATGTGAGCAAAGAGACCGCAAGTGTCTGCAAATATTTATCCATCTATGAGGTGTACCGATAAATACTACCACACATTTGTGTATCTGTATCTTTGTGTGGTTTATGCTTGAGCAACGCCGGCAATTGACGTGCACCGCCCAGAAACACAAAAAAATGCTGGAAAATACAGAAGAGAAAAGCCGCAAAATGAAATGCCGTACAAAAACACAGCTCAAACTCAAGTCAAGTGGAAAACCCTACAACAAAAACCTGAAAAATACTCATGAGAAAAAAAAACCAAAAAGAAATAATTAAAATATTTGTTGTTTGTTTGTTCAGGACAAAGGGTCTGTCCGCATACCCATCCCCATTCCCTGTACTCATAATTAGGCGCAAGAACCAACTCAACCATTAAATAGTTTTGACAACTGCTCATAGACCATCTCTGTGACTGCTAAGATTGCTCTATTAACTTTCGGTTTTTCTTGCAACCTCTCCCTCTCTCCTCTTTAGGGGCATTGCCAAGGTCGGCGAACCGAACAATATGTCACCCATCACCACTGGCATTATGTACATGGATCCCGCCATACACTCCACACTGCGGAGGAAACAGCGTCGCTTGGTGCGAGACAATCCGGGTGTACTGGGAGCCCTCGTCAAGGGTGCCAACCTGGCCATCAGCGAGTGCCAGCATCAGTTCCGCAATCGACGGTGGAACTGCTCAACCAGGAACTTCCTAAGAGGCAAAAATCTCTTTGGCAAGATTGTAGATCGAGGTGAGTCACAAGAACAGAAACTAAATAGCAGTATGGTATTTCCTTTACCATCACTTAAGGTTCCCCTGTCAATCTCATTAGCTCTTTGCTTCTCTTTTCTTGAGGAAATATGATCTACCGATTGTGTTCGTTTTTCCCTTAGCTACCATAGAAGAACGCATCAACAAATTGCTTGCATAACCCAACTGCAACCTCATTTTCCTTTCGGTTTCCACTTTATTTACGAGTATGTTATGAAATGTCACTCCCCTGGACATGGACATCGTGTATGCTTCTCTCCCTCCCTCTCTGGCGGAGTGTGTGTGGCGCTTGTTTGTTATTGTAATACGATCTGGGCACTTGGTAATATGGTATTACTTGTATGTATGCTTTGTACAATGCTCACGTATGTCTGTCTGTATATGTATATGGGTTGACTACCCTTCAAGAGGGCACTTTCCCTGGCTGGTTGGAGACAAAGGGTTCGCCTTGTCATCATCTTGCAGTCCTCCATCCTCCAGTGCACTTGCTCCACTTGCATTTCAGCATGTTTATGCTAATTGGCCCAAGTTGGCAGCACCACAACGCACCAGTGTGCAGACCTGGCCAGACCACGTCTGTGTCACTCACAATTGCTCATTCAAATCAATCAAATGTGCTTGTCTCGCTCTCGTGTAGTCGGGTCTCTTCTGGGAGTTGTTCGTGCGCTCGTTCGTTCGCCTGCTGCGAGTCGACTCCGATCCCAGGAGAGCGACGACTGCAGAGCTCCCCCCGAGCGAGGCTGTCAACTGATTTTCATATATAAATATAAACAAAAGTCGCGCATGCGACTGTCCTGCTGCTGTTTTCAATGGAAATTCTGCACTGCCTTTCATTTCTCCTGCCGTTTTATAGCTACTGTTTTGTCCTGAATCCCACCAGAGCGCACTACCTGGGATCACTCGGATCACTCTTGGCCTCTCATTCTGTATCTATATCGTATGTCATTTGTGGGCGTGCCCACGTCGCGTGGCTCTGCCTCTGCTCATCTGCGCCGTACCTCTGCGCTCTGCGATCCTCTGTCCGTCTGTCAACGGCAGCTGACTTTTATAGCCAGGCTCTTGACCTTATCAAGTCATTTTTACTCTCCGCTAACATCCTTTTTATGAGTCTCTCCTCTCGAAATCCCTCTTGACATTTTATGGATTACATAAAACGAAAACGAAATGAAAGGCTGGGAAAAATTGCCTCGCCCGCTGGTGGTGACAGCTTTTTATCGCAGCACTTTCATCGCTTTCCACAATCAAATTTTTAATGTTCGCTCTCTCTCTCTCTCTCTCTCTCTTTGTCTCTTTTCTGTTTGACTCTTACTCTGCCCTTGCCCTTGGCCCTAATTAACACCTAGAGCGAAACCATTAACACTTGGGGTACCGATCGGATCCGAACCGAACCGAACCCTAGTGCAGTTCCAGTGGCTCTCAAACCAACTGACTGACGCTGCCTGTCCGTGTCGACCCATTTGCCAGCGGGGCACATTCCACTACATTCCTTTGCATTATTCATCTTTTTGTGTAGTTCTTTTTTCGGGGTTTTTGGGGTAGAAGCCTAACTTGTTTTCTAATTGGTGACACCTTGTCAATTTGCCACGGCACACGGTTTAACAGGCTGTCTCTATTAGTGATTTCAACTTGCTTTTTGCATGGAACGAGCATCGATGTCTGCTTCTGCAATCATCGGTCGTGACGAACGAACCCACCCCGGGGTTGCCACTGGTTCAGGGTCCCTGTGGGTTTTATATCAAGGCTCTAAACTATTCCGGGAACTGTCAGTCTGCCAGTGGTCTCCTTCTAAGCAGCTTATCCCACAGATGAGCTGAGCCCTTCTCTAGGGTCCTTCTCCCTTTTTTTGTGCGCTAGGTACGTTAGTCAAGAGCTGTGCTTAGCCGAGGCTCATCTTGTGGTGCAGCTCCTGCTCCTGCTGCTGATTCTCCTCTCAATTTCAATTTCAATCAGTTTTGCCACGCCCACACACAACGGAAATCCGTTTGTGGCAATTACGTGCACCAAAAACTTCTCATATTACATGCGGAAATACACGAATGTTTTTGTGGGGTTCCTTTTTTATCAGGTTTATATTTTTTTGGTGGCCCATTGCTCCATTTTGTTCGTGGAACGACACACCCTCCCAAACTCATTTCGCATTTCTTTTGTTAATTACTCAGGGCTCTTATTCCCACTGCCCATTCTCATTCCAATTCTCGTATTCTCTTTAATTTATTATCTTTTGTTCGTTAACCATTTACCAAGCGCTATTTACATAAGAAAACCCACAAAAGCAGAGTATGAAATACGAAATGCAAACATAAAAAAACTCTCGATCTTTCACTCCCCCACCTCGTAAAAAGGTAACGCGAATTCTTGCTAAGCTAATCACCCAAAAAGCAAATGTCAGGCGCAATGACTGTGTCACGCCTCTGCCTCAGATACCTCAGATACCTTGGCAACTTTCAGTTCAGTATTATTCCCGAACGTTTGCGCATGCGCCGCCTGTTGTATCGTTATCGGGGGCCAAACATCTTGCACATATTTACACATCTTGTTCATGCCTTAAATTTTGGTTACTTACGTGAAATTATTTAAGGAAAACCGAAACCGAAACTGAAACCACCAACGACAAACAAGCAAACATTAACCGGGAATCGGTGGAAGGTGGAAGGCTCTCCCGTGCGTAGTTCAAGAAAACAAATCATTTTTTTGGTCGAATTCCAGGAATTTGAAATCAAAAGCGGCAAAATGTACGAGTAGCGTACTTCAAGCGGAAGTTGTGCCTCGTCAATCGTCAAACAGAGACTTGAGGCTAGTCAATCATAGATACATCAATCCACACCTTTACACAGAAAGAGAGACGGGGAGAGTTACTGAATGGAACCCCTAAATACATCATCTATAAATATAATATCTCAAAGAGTTAACACCCTAAAGAACCCCCAAAACTAAACTCTTACTCATGAGAGTACAACAGTTGACAGTTTTCTCGCTCAGAGCCCTCCGAGTTCTGCCCTACCCTCTGTAGATCTTCAGCTACCTGACCCATCCATCCAGACGGACAGACCAACCATCCATACATCCATACATCATATCTTTTGAGCTATGAACTGAAGCGAAACCACTTGAAAAATTATCTGCAACATGTAAATTCAATTTTCATTGTTCTTTATCTGTGATGGTTGGTCTTTCAGAACTACTCTCTGTTCTGGAGAGTAGACACAGAAACAGAAACAGAAACAGAGGCGAACAGAGGCAGTTTCGTATACTAAAAATAAAAAGTAAAGCAGGGGTACGGGTACGGACCGGGTCCAGTACCCAAGAGAGACACGGAGAACTGTCCACTCGAATGGATTGTGTAGAGATGGGCAAAAGTGTTAAGTTGGAATTTATAGTTGAGCGTTTAATCTGTGTCAGGTTTGTGTGGCGTGGTGGCGTTTCTCCCCCTCTGCAATCTGTTTCTGTTTCAGTTTCTGTTTCTACCTCTGCTCGAGCCTCCTGTGGCATTGATAACTTGAAGTGTCATAATTGACCAGACTTTGGAGGACAAGTGCCATTACTCATACTCATGCAAACGAAATGCCCCAACGAAATATTTGTAGCTCTCTTGTTGCCCACGTCGCAATCACTTGAGAGCTGAGATTGAGATCTTGTCTTGTCGTGGACCCCATCCACGGAACACCCAGAAGGCAAAAACACATAGCACCAGGGGAGTGGGGAGGAGAAAAATGTGGTTTAAACTCAAAACTCATTCGCTTTCATTTCCATTTGCACTTGCAGGCTGCCGCGAGACGGGCTTCATCTATGCCATCACCAGCGCCGCGGTGACCCACTCGATAGCCCGGGCCTGCAGCGAGGGCACCATCGAGTCCTGCACCTGCGACTACAGCCACCAGTCGCGCTCCCCGCAGGCCAACCATCAGGCGGGCAGCGTGGCCGGTGTCCGGGACTGGGAGTGGGGCGGCTGCTCCGACAACATTGGATTCGGCTTCAAGTTCTCCCGCGAGTTCGTGGACACTGGCGAGCGTGGACGCAATCTGCGCGAGAAGATGAATCTCCACAACAACGAGGCGGGCCGAGCGGTAAGTTTCCCCTAGTCTTAATTTTGTCAGCTGCTGTTCGATGTTAGCCTGTGCTTTGCGATTTACGACTGGGCTACTAAAAACCAGCGACGCATTGCTTCGACAGTTTCGGTAATTAATTGGAGGCGAACGCCAATTGGCCTAGGCTTAAGCTTGCTCTCTCGAGCGCTCTTTTCATGCATGGCAGAGAGGGGAGGAACTGCACTCGTTTTCGCTTGTGTGCCTCGTATATTAGCTTGCTGACAGCTTCCAGTTCGCCTGCACTTTCAGGACAAATGGTATTGCTGCAGTTAGAGTAAAAATGTATCAGAAATCGATGAATTATCAATAGAATTTATGTAGAAGCGATAGCTAACCGTTTCCCTTTCGGTTTCTGCAGTCTCCAACTAATTGTATTTGTTCAATTTATATTTGATGACCAATTTGGGCATTCAACTCCACTGTGGCCCAATTATGCCTCCTCCGGCCACGTTCTTTCGGCTCTTGTGCCTCTTGTGCCTCTTGTGCCTCTTGTGGTGTATGGATGCTGCGAGTGGGGTGTATAAAGTAGCCCACTGAGCCAACATCCATTACAGCTAGAGAAGACAACTGTAGATCCGGGGCCAGCCAATCCATGGATCCAGTGTACGGGCCCACCATCTGTGTTATTATTTTATTACTTGTTATGGGCTTCATCTTCGACTGCATCTCGATCTCCATAATCATTGCGATGATAATGGAGATGATGATGAAGTTGGTGGCTGGCTGCTGTGGCTGTGGGCCCCCCAACTGCGTTGATTTCTTACTTTTAGTCGACGGGATCTTTGGGGCCTTGCACAATTACAACAAGAGGCAGCAGCAGCAGCAGCAGCAGCAGCAGCATCACATGCAGGGGGAACATGCAACATGCGCACAGCAAGTTTCAACAACATTTATTGATTTTTAATAACTGCAACAACGTGGCAGGCGGGCCGCCAATCTCCAATCGAACAACAGCCGAGCCAAAGCAAAAAACAGCAAAATAATTAAGTGAAAAACATATTGGGACTCCATCGAGTCCATGGAGCGTAATAAAGTCATACTAATGAACAATCCCTCTCCCCTCCACAACTGTCTTGCAGCATGTCCAGGCTGAGATGCGGCAGGAGTGCAAATGCCACGGCATGTCCGGCTCGTGTACGGTGAAGACCTGCTGGATGCGTCTCGCCAATTTCCGTGTCATCGGTGATAATCTGAAGGCACGCTTCGACGGAGCCACCCGTGTCCAGGTCAGCAACAGTCTCCGGCAGAGTGCCAATGCCGTTGCCGTAGTCAGCCCGAATGCGGCGGGCTCCAACTCTGCCGGTTCCAATGGCCTGCTGCAGTCTGCAGTCAGCGTCTACGAGGATGAGGAGCGCATGCTGAACGATCACATGCCCGATCTGCTGCTGGACAACACTCATCTGAGCAGCAAGATCCATCATCCAAATATGCCATCGCCGAACAGTTTACCCATGGCGGGCGCAAGAGCCAGGAACGGACGTCGTCAGGGTCGCAAACATAATAGGTAAGCATCGATCGAGACTCCTCTCTACATCACCCCATAAAACAGAATAAATTAAAGGGAACTTTATAGCAACAGATAGTCAAAATCCACAACTAACCATTGCTCTATGTCTCGTTATTGTCTCTCTGCAGATATCACTTCCAATTGAATCCACACAATCCGGAGCACAAGCCACCTGGCTCCAAGGACATTGTCTACCTGGAGCCATCGCCCAGCTTCTGCGAGAAGAATCTGAGACACGGCATACTGGGCACCCATGGCCGGCAGTGTAATGAGACCTCTCTGGGTGTCGATGGCTGTGGCCTGATGTGCTGCGGGCGTGGCTACCGAAGGGACGAGGTCGTCGTCGTGGAGCGATGCGCCTGCACCTTCCACTGGTGTTGCGAGGTCAAGTGCAAGCTGTGTCGAACCAAGAAGGTTATCTACACGTGTCTATAAGTAGTCTATAAGTTCCCAACCCACCCTGAAATCCATCCTCATTCTAAGTATCTAAAGCCACTCCCTCTTTTCTATGTACGTGTTATGTATTTTGTCTACGCTTAGCCTTTGTTATTAGCCACTTAAGAGCCTAGACTATAGCCTAGTTAAAGATACAGCTACCAACCCCCCCAGCAACACACTCTCTCCTACCCTAATATCATGTTTAACTCTCACTTTTGACAGCAGTATTACGGGAGGAATCAATGAATAGATTTCATGAGGAATACAACTTATGTTTGCCCAGTTCTTAGTTATGTAAGCCAGCAAATTATTTTGTAAATTACAATTGCTGCACGTCCATCCCATCCCATCCCTTAGTCTAGGGTTTAGTTTTAGGCTAGCTTAAAGTTCTACTAGCGCGTCCCCCTCCCTCTACCCACTCTACTCTATACAAATCTTTGCTCTTTCTTTCTATAAACGAAAAAAAGTTTTAAATCATTTTTAAATCATCGAAAAACAAGACTGAACAAATTCAACATCGCGCCGCTCTCCCTCCGTCGTCTATATCTTTCGAATATCGAATATTGCTTCCATGTTGCTTTGGCCTGGCTCAAAGCGGATGGAAAGCGGGAATAGATCAGAAATCATTTAGCAAGTAAGCGAAAAGCCAAGGCTGGAAATCAAATTGGAATGGATCTTCCAAGATGGTATTTCCACCAAGAACCTTGGCTCCCTCCCCCCAAAATCATTTACCATTTTTGTGTACATAAATAAGAATTAACTTAATGTAGGAGTCCTTGTCCAAATGAATCATCCACCCATTTTGTTGCTTGGAATTTATGAAATTTTGCACATAAGAGAAGAAAATCATATAAAATATATTTTTTTTTGGTAACTCATTTAATTTATGGAAATGTTTTTAGCCCACTCCCCCCGCTCCGATCCATTGTAGGTATTACTAATTAACTAAAATGCACATGGCTGGTTAGTCGAACTATAAATAATGTCTAGGCTTACAGTAACTATACGTACGAGTATCTATGAATAAATATATTTAATTAATTTATACTAGATGATAGACATTCAATTTTGTAAAGTATTAATGCGAGCGAGAAACAACAACAAAAATTAAAAACAAAAAACAGCAAAAAAATGCGAATCGAAATGCAAACCGAAAACACACACAACAAATCAATAAAAAAGCAAATCAAAACAACAATTACAAAATAAAACCTAGAGTGGAATTTATTTACCTGTGGCTTTGGGCAATTATTTGGATCAAGTGTGCGGCAATTAGCCAGAGGCAGTGGCGAGCGGCAGGGGCAGAGGCCAAGGAGCAACGGCAGCAGGTCAGGGTTTCTGCTTTGTGGCATTTCAATATTTGATTTAAGGCAGCAGCAGAAGCAGCAGCAGCAGCTCTCTCGGTGGCAGTTTCCCAAGCGCATTTTTTTGCTGCTGCAACTGCAAGAAGCTGTCAACCTGGGGCAGGCCACACCAGCAAGAGCAACAGCAACAGCAACAACAGCAGACGACAGTTGCATCTTTTGTATATCGTCGGCAAAAGTCAGCGGACCTGAGGCTCCCCGCACATCTGACAATGCGAACGACAATTCCGCGCTGTCAGCGGCAAGCCATCGAATGTGGCTTTCAAGTTTCAGCGACGACTACGACGACGAGGAAGATCGGACCACGACATGCAATTGCCCGACCAACTATGCAACCTGACATCCGACAGATCTAGACGAGAGCCACAGAGCAGAGGAAGGAGCAAGAGAGAGAGAGAGAGAGCGACGAGAGATCTGGAGCTGGATGAGGCTTACATTGATCCTGATTTCAGCTACTGATCTGCAGATGAAGATGGAGTTGGACCCTGGATAGCTGGATAGCTGGATAGCTATGCACCCAACAATCGTACATTGTACATATATAAAAAGTGATCGTGCTACATGTGTCCAATGCGGTTGACAGTTTTGTTTCGCTTTTTCTTTTCTTTTTTCCGTTTTTTTTTTTGTTGATACGGGTGGGAAAACAATTTTTCGTCCAGTAAACGGGATTCCACAGAGATGTTTGATTAGCCGGGTGTTTGGGGCCTTGAACTGGGATTGCTGAAAAAAAAGGATATGATCGGAGGAAGTGAATGGTATGGATCATCAAGCTTTCATTGAGCTTCAGTTTGGCCTAGTTTTGAGCATCAGCAACAAAGCATCAACATTGAGATCATTGAGATTGAGATCATTAAATCAATAGGGAACAGGATCGGGTTGATCATCTAAAAAGTTCTCCAATTCATTCAAATTAATTTACAATCTTCAAATCATCAACCAACTGCCCACTCTCTATCTTCCAACAGATCATCTCCTGTACAGCGCCATGTTCTGACCATTATGTCAGCTGTAATTAGAGAATAGATACAAAATGCCTGGCAAATGATTCACGAGCTGTTGCCTTCAACGCCTCAGCGGAGACTCATATAACACAAAGGCTGGAACGACATACACGTACAGACTCCACTCCATCTCTAAAGCCTAACGCGTTGGATCCACATCCTCGGGCATTATTAAGCATCATAACCCCACGGGGCACATAGTACGCCTAGTTAGAGAGTGACGTGCCATTGTTGTTATGTTATGGCACAGCGAGGCGACAATTGTTGTCTCCAATGAGTCGTCGTTGTCGTCTTCGTCTTGGACTTGGACTTGGACTTGGACGTCGTCGTCGTCGTCTTCGCTGTCGCTGTCTGGTCCAAAGAGACATTGCTCCTAATCAATAAAACTAACGAGCGGATTAAGATTACGTTTGCCGTGGCAGCTTCAGGCTCAGGCTCAGCATCAGCTTCAGCTTCAGTTGCAGCGTCTCGCACAGAGGCGAGAGACCAAAAGCGGCGCACGCTCATCCCAAAAATGGTCAGGCGGCCTAATGAATTGCAAGTCGCCGGAGCCTGTCCCGCATATACAATAAAGAAGAAAACAAAACAGCAAAAACCAATCGAATTGAATCGAGGATCCTCATCTGGGGCTCCTACTCGACGCGAGAGTCGTCAATCGGTCGGTCGCTTCGCTCTGCCGTTGCTTCGATCGATGTATCGATGATCGGTGGTGCGGTTGAGCGTTCAATGGTTGGCTTGATGGGGATGTGACAATGACAGTTGTTGTTCGTCATGTTTGGTGCATGTATAGCCAGCCGCCCGGTTTGTTTCCACCGATCCGCTCTTCTTTTGTGTTGTAATTGCAGACGCCACACGTTTCGCGCGCTGTTTGATTTGGAAATTGCAACAGATCGGCTCGGAATGGGCAATATCGCGATGGGGGCATCTCATTGACTTGGCATTCCAGGCACGCGCATGCCTTGGCATGACAAGACTTTCAAGCCCTCGCTCTCTCACTCTCTCACTCTGTGCCACCAGAGCCCACAAAGGGCCACAGATGAACATTTTCGACAGCAAGCCTCATGGTGTGCGAGTGTGTGTGAGTGTGTGGTGTGTTAATTAAGTGGCAATTGTTGCGAGGCGTGAGAATTTGGCGGATTAGGTAAAGAAATGTAAGTGACCTAAGACACAAACAAGTTGTGGAGGGAGGTGCTGGGTTCCCCATTAAGGAAGTGATCGAAAACTCTTGGGAGAAGTTTCCTTTAAGTGACCCAAACCAAACGCACAACAAAATGTAAGACTTAGTTGGGTGTAAGTTTCTTAATAAGGAAATGCCACTGAGGGAGTGCCACTGCATAATTTTCTGAGCAAAGTGATCCCTAAATAGAACTAAGCTCAGGTGTGTCGCAGTCAAATTCCTCAAGGAAAAGGCACTGCATAATTTGGTGACCCAAACCCAAACAGAGCAACAAAGGACACAGTTTGTTTGCCAACTTGAAATCTAGCTCAAGTGACCCAAATCCCTTAAGGGAAATGCTGTTCCAACTAAGGACAGACTGCCACTGGTGACCCCCACAACGAAACATTATTTCAATCGACAATCTAGAGAGGTGTAGGTAGAGGTCCCCTTTGGTTAACTCGGTGCAAACATTGGCCTAGTGCCTATGGCTATCAATCATCGGCCCAAGGCTGTTAACATTGGCGACAACTTCTGCGATTGTCACTACCAGGAAGCAATGACCAAGCAAAGACCACCAGAGGCGAGACTTCGACTCCGACTCGGACTCGGACTCCCCATGCCCTCAGAGACTAGACCAGAGACCAGCCAGACAGACTGCGACACTGGACACTGGACTGTTGGACCATGTAATTAACGGCACGCAAAAAGTGTTTGTAAAGCATTTATGGGATGTATGACGGGGTTGGGGATGTAACTGGTGGACAGGGACACAGGGACAGGGGATCCTCTCTAGTATAGCCATTGGATATGGGTGTCCCATTGGCTAAAGGCGACACGCATGTAAACATTACCATTTTTGGCTAAAGACGCGACAGCTGCTGGGACATTGGACTGTCTACGCAGTTGCCTTCCCGGTTGGCTAGATGGATGGATGGCTGGCTGGACTTCGACTTCGACTTCACTTCAGCATCTACTGGCACTCCACTCTCCAATCTCCAATCTGGGTGGCCGTCAGTGGTGCTCTGACGTTCGTAATTGAGTTACAAAAAGGTCAATCGATCGACGGTGATGTGGAGTGTCAGTGCTCGACTTTAATTTATTTTATAATTACACGCACTTTATGCCTAATTAGTTTTGTTTTTATATTCCCGCTCTATACATCTGTCCTCCTGTCTTGTCTCTTCTCTCAGGTTGCTGCCTGGTTCAGTATCTGTGTCTGTGTCTGCGTCCGCGGGTCGGAGCCACAAAAAAGTTTCCCATCATTTGGCTTCCATTATGCAGCGTTCGCGGCCACCGAATTCCTAAGGTGCGCGCGAATGGGCGTCAGGTTTGCAAAAAGAAAAGAAAGAAAGAAAGAAAGAGAAGAAAAAATAAGTTAAAGCCGAAGAGGTAGATACCCTCGTAGACACGTTGTTTTTATGGGAATAATTATTATTATTTACAGCATGAAGAAAATAAGTTTCCCGGAGAGTGGGTTATCGCTCTCTACCAGTGAGACTCGCATTTTGAATGTCCTCTCATTTAAGTAACAAAATTATTCAAAATGCGCAAACATCTTGTAAAAGTCAAAGTACTCCTTTGAAGCCATACACAAATATTCCCTTCGAACAAAGGAGTAAGGCTGACTGAGGACAGTGGTGCACACAGCAAAGTGTGGAGTGTAGAGAGGGTGCGCCTGGGTGCCCACTACAATTCCCAGTCAACGGATGCGAGTGTTCCCAGTCCTCCGCCTCCTCCTCCTTGTAGTAGTTTCCTCATTTAGTGTGCCTGCCCCCGTCCCTGTCTTCGTCCTCGCCTTGTACCGTTTTGAATCCAGATTGAGGAGTACGTACGAGTGGACTGGAGCGATCATCTCATCGGGGCGCTTTTGTGGCCGCGTCTTCGTCTTCATCGCTACATCAACGCACTCCTTTGTTTGCCCGGGCCCTTTAGCCTGACCCTAGTGCTCTCTCTCTATCTCTCCCGCTTCTCTCCGTTCGCCTGCGTCTCTCCCCACCCCTCACTCGCTGATCTCCTGAGCTCCGCTCGCTGACTGAGTGAGTCGGTCGGTGCGCCAACTTTGTTTAAGTTTGCGTTGGCTTATTGTTTGCTGTTCTTTTTTTACTC